AATTGCCCTACTATACACATGTCCTCTATTTTGTCTAGCAGCCAAGTACGTGTATCAGATAACACACTCCTAACACCAGCAGAACCCCCGTGGACACACAGTTGTGAGATGTCTAAATACATGACATGTGTGACATTTTGGTCACATTAAAAATGTTCCAAACTCACCTGTACATTTAATGAAGTTCTGGGTTCAGTACAAGTAGCCCACTTGTGGAATAATGTTGATTACCAAATGAACTTCCTCTCACCCCTCCTTTTCTTAAGAAAATAAAAAATAGAAAGAAAAAGAAAAAAAATCTTAAAATGGAAGTGAAGGAGACCATAAACGTTAAAATATTGTCTCGGAAGTCAATCAAGACGTAAACAATGTTAACACCATAGCTGTGGTTAACACGGTTTTAGTGTAAAAACAAATCGCTCACTAATCTTTTCTGTGTAAAATTATATCCCGTTGTAGACATCTCTTACTAACCTTTTCTGTGTAAAGTTATATCCCACTGTAGAAATCATTTACTAACCTTTTCTGCGTAAAGGTTTGTCCAAATTGTAGCAGGTCCGTGACCGTAACAATTTTAACAACTTCGTCGCCATGACAACTCAGCACTGTAAACAGCTGAAACGTCTTAAAATGATAAATTACACTGCTTGCAGCTCATATCATGCACAGGTCTTAATAGAAGAATTAATTATAAGCTTAAAAAATATATGCTTTACATTTCTGCTCTTAAATCCTCCAAAAACAGCTCCATTCACTTCCATTGTAAGTGCCTCATCAGTTTCGATTTTTTTGTATTATTATTATTATTATTCATTTTTAATTGAATAATTAATTTATTTATTTATTTTGAGGAAATGAATATTATGCTACAAATGTGGTCAACCGGAACACCTTCAGAGTGACGCCTTTTTTTTTATTTCTTTTTTTTTTTTTACAGGAATGAAAACGAGGCTATGAGGGATAGAAGTAAAGTTCAATGGATCAAAACAACATATCAATTGTTGAGCTTACAAACCATCTTTTTGATAAAAATAAATAAATACAGTAAACAAAAACGTCATAAGACAGCTTTCAAAGATGTGAGTTATTAAAATTGCGTGATTTGGCACCTTTATACAGTGCGTGCCCTTGTAAAGACCCCATGAAAATGAACAAAGGTAATCTTAAATTTTTTTCTCATCTTGCCTTGCAAGCTTCTTTCGCACGTCTATCCCTCACAGCCTTTACCTTCACGTAAAATTCACTGTGGTGTCTAACCTGACTACACACAGACTGAATACATGTGGGATAAATGCTGAGTTCTGGACCCCGCGTGTTTACTGGCTGGCAAGAAGAATTTTTACGAGACATGAGGCCTACAGTACATCACAGAGGCAAAGTTCAACAAGCTCTACCACACTCACGCTCACCCGCTCTCTTTCTTCTGTTCTTTCTCACAGTGTGAGTAATGATACTGCTGAGTGAACCTCACTGTTTAATAAGCCTTCTCGAACATGTTGCTAACACGCTCTCGTTGAGATCACGCACACATACACAGACGGGCACAGGGAACCAGATACACACGAGGCTTCTGTTAACCCGAGAGTGAAGAGGTCAATCCAGTTGATCCCTTGCATGCATGCCTCTCATACGAACACATTGCGTCCATGGCAACAAGATTCCTGATCGCTGTTAGCTCTAATAAAACTGGTGCCATCTGTGTTACATATATACAGTATACTGGTTCACTGTACCACACTGATGGACTTCAGCATACATATACAAAATCTGTAAAATATATATCCAAACAATGACAGAATGGCAGGTGTGACCTCAATCTATCAAATCACCTTTAGGTTTATAGTGGACTGTATGTCATTATGATGCTCTTCTAGATGCTGAACTTAAAATGAACTTCAACCTTCCTGATTAAGCTTGATTATGCTTTTATTTCTTAAAAAAATTATATATACATATAAAGTATATATATATATATATATATATATATATATATTTTTTATTTTTGT